CCGCAGAGGCAGAAACAAGCATGGAAGACGCCGATATCGCTAACAACATCGAAGCGTTGTTCTCAACGGAAACGTATGGCGAAGAGCATGGAGACAGCTCAGAGCGTACTCACCAGAATCAACACCGCGAACTGGACAGGGTGCGGCAGCCCGTACCACGTGCACTTGAAACCCGACGGGAACTCAAGGAGCCCTGAAACGCACACGTTAGCATAGCAAACGAGGCCAACAGCAATAACGCCGTCCGTGGGGTGGAGTGGTAACATTCATCCGTGTACGGCGGCCCAGACACGAGACACAAGACACCCACCAGAGCCCTATGCTCGCCGCAGAAGGCGTGCTACTTGTGGCACAATGTACCCCAACAGGAATCGTCACAAGTTCGCCACACTCACTGTTGCTTTCCAGTAGGACCATGTTCAACGCTGAGGTCACGAATATCAGGGCGAAACAACTGTCGTGGAATACGGCAGACGACGAGCAGGTGCAGAGATAGCTCACGTAAGGTAATGACAACAACACCGCATAGATAGCCGCGGGCATCAACTTACTCGTGAAGCGTGGAGCGGGCGTCTTCGGCTGGACGACGCCCTGACGGCAGGAGAACCCAACGCAGTCGGCAGACGCATGACAGAGAGAGGCGTTCGACCAGCTTGAGGGTGGCGTACTGGTCCGTCTTCTTACACAACAAAAGCGGCCATTCTTTGCTATGCATGCGAATGCGCTCAAATACCATTCATTGCCCCCAGTTGTAACGGTGATGTCGTCAAAGAAGGACCGCACTGCCTGAAACGCCCAGTAGCAGCTTTACCGCGAGCCATTCACCCTGAAGAAGGTCCCCCGAGCAAAAAGTCTATGTAGACTAATACAATAGTCGGAAGCAGTGAAATTTGTCCCCAGATACGTGCGATCCTAGTCGTAACGGACTGCGCGTCGGAACTACTGTTGTGAAAGTCATCCCCAAAGATAGATGTGACAGCCAGTCGTAACGGGTCGATCGCATCCATTGGAATCTTTCTCTCGCATACCGTCGTGGGACGTTCATCCTCGGGCTTCGTAGATCTTCCAAGTTCACACAGTAGGTCCAGGTAAACCTACATAGGATCTCGAATTAGAGCCGCATCGAAGGCGGAAAAACGTGCCAACAGCAGGAAAGCAGTGGCGGCATTGATATTTTTGGCTACATTGACGAAACCAGCGTGCCTGGGCTCTCAATCAACGTGGCGTTCACCTCCGGCACGCCGCGAAATAGTGTTCAGGGCGAGTGTCCAGGGCCACAGGTGGATTGGTATCTGCACACCGTCGCCTTCTAGCAGCCAATTAGCATTATAAACAAGAACGAGTCATTCGTGGGGAGTGGTGGAATATCCCAGCGCGATCTTGCGAGATCTAGATACTGGTGTGTGGCACAAGCACCCACTTGTCAGTGGAAAACCGCTTCTTCTTCGGGGCTACACTATGTAGCCTACAGTATGAGCAGCCGAGAGAAGGGAGGAGGGAGCAGCGTGTCCCTCGAAAAGCGAATTTTGTGATCGTCAGCAACCTGTGTGATACCCGATGGCTGTGAATCATTCATTCCGGAGCGGGCGACGTCACGCCAAATAATAATTTGAACCACGCTCGTTCGCCATTGTCACTGTACTCCGGGCGTGGAGTCAAGCTCACCAGTTGTATTTTGAGGAATCAGTTTCAAAGTCTTGGGAAACAACGTGTGCAGAAAACTGACGACTACAACACCACATGCTCGGACGGTGTTGGGGAGTACAATGTGTGGCATGATGCCCGAAAGCAGCTTTTGCAAACACAAACACAAAACTTGAAGTATGCACAACTTGCGGTTGCCTTTGTCGCTGCCTCTTTGCTGCTCGAACGGTCCCGTTTCACCAGAAAGGATTTATCGTCACGAACAACGTTTCGCACCCAAGAACCGGAGAAATAATACATTGAACGACGTGTTTGAACAGCGACACGCGGCACCGCCAGAAGCAGCGGTACACTCCAGCAGCGTGCTACCGTCGAACGAGCTTGGCTGAACTTGTCGCGGTCGGGTATGGTGTGTGTTACCGAAATTACAAATCACACCAAATATATTCAGTTTCAAAGTGTAAGATTTACATATTCCGAGAACCTACCGCGGATCGGAAACAAATCCCATACGGGCACAACGGGCAACGCGCCACAGTGCTGCACGACTTTAAAAAAAAGCAAGTGTGAGAAGCTTTCAACGGGAAAGCAGCCCCCTGTGGAAACCCCTCTGATCAGGCGGCTCGCGGCGCAACAAACCTCCACACCCAGCACCGGCTCTAGAGGGCGAACCACAGGCTAAACTGCCCAGACAACACAAGAGGTATGTTAACACGATGCAAGGGCACAGCAGGGTATGTTTCATACGCCCAGATACACATGGTAGGGTGATAAATTTAGACTTTAGCTAGAGCGTACCACATTGCGGCTGCTCCAAAATCCGAGAGGAAGCTTCACACGCGAGCCGACCTCTGCGTAAGGTTGGCGTCTTGCAGCCTAACTATGCTGCCGACGTACATCTAGGTCTCATTGCCACCTAATGCAAAAGGTTTGAGGCGATTTAGTGCGGTAGAAAACAAGCATGGTGTGTTCAAAATTCAAACTTCAGGAGAGCCCACGCCGGGGGGTTCGAACGCACGCTCTTGCATGTTGCGCATGTACATCCACTGGATACACGACCCCCATCGAAAGATACTATGGAAATGCCCGAAACAGTCCGGCCGCCACAACAATTCATAGGAAATCTGGACTTCGAGAGGGCAAGTACGTCTGTCTTGAAGTTCATATTAGACTCGGTGCTTTGCCATGGTACGAGTCAAACATGACCCGGGGCGCTCACCTACGTGTACTCCAGACCGTGCATATACAGCAGTCGATTGAAACGCCGCAGAAATGTCGAGTCGGGTAAATATAGTACGTAGATCGACAACTTTCAGTCCGTACATAAGCATGCCCATACAGAGGATCATATGTTCTGCATGGCTGTCACGAGACAGTGAAGCGCGCCCACAGACATAGCATAGGTGTGCGCCTGCGTAGGCTGTAGACTGCGTGTCACGTAACATTTTGTAATTTTTGGTCGTATACCATGGCCAGGTTTTTAATGCATGGGATAACGGCCAGCACAGGTCGTGCTAACAGATGACCCGTCGGAGAGGTACGCGGGGCAACCGGGCTGGTGGGGCTAACAACCCTACAGGTCAACCGGCTACGCCACCGGCTACGCCTCGGAACTAGCCTGGGAGCTCTGTTACACCCGGAAGCGGGAGTATGCAGCCAGCATGGGACCTTCGTTAGCTTACGGAAGGCACGCGTTACGGAAAGCACGCTAACCCCGCGTACTCCAGTGGTCGAGAACTCAGGGGGAGACGTAACAAGTGAACGTCCACGGATCGGGAGCAGGAGAGAGGGCAACCTAACCACTGAGGTGCGTACCCCCCCCGCAGCGACAAGCGTGACGCGAGAGATTCCGGTGCACGCGTCCGTCGGACGGGAGGAAAATCCCGGTCGGGCAGGAAGCGCAGGAAGAGGCCCTCCGTTGGTGTCACGGGTGGTGGCCTACCCAATCTTGAGAGCAAGCTCAAGGAGGAGGATTACTACAGACAGCAGGGCGAGGCGAGGAGGGAGGCATCGGCCCGTGAAGCTCGCGCGATTGCCGAAAACGAACGGCGAAAAGCAGAGTCCGAGGGGAATCACCCCGTTGATCCTCGGCGTAGGAGTCACGGCGGGAACCCAAGACAAGCCGGTTATCAGCCTGGGAAGCGGAGTCCGGGTAGGAGACTTTCTGCCCCAGCGGTGCTATCTGTACGCAACCAACAAGCAAGGAGCGAAGAAAGGCGTACGAGCGTATGGAATGCGGATGGATTACAGACCACCCTCGCACCGAGTGTAGCAAATGCCCCGGGAGTGTAGTGCACTCGGACGACGATAAGCTATGTTCGGCATGCCACAGGTCTCCGAATGACGACGGTTTCAAGCACCTCCGCCCGGACCGGTTAGGGCGAGCAGTAGACTTCGTGGCCGCGTGGACACTAGGAGAGAAAACCCTCCCTCCAGCTCTCGTGCGAGACTTTAGGCCCAGCAATGACTGCCTCTGCCAACGCCCAGACTGCTTCCCAGCTTTTTTCGCCGAGGAAGAAAGGAAGGCAGAGTCTTGCGTTTGCGACACTTGTGGGTACCGGAAATCGGGCAAGAGCATCGTATGGTGGTACCCCATGGATGCTGCAGATGACGATGTCGCGGAGGGGAACGCAGCGATGAGCGATGGCCTTTGGTGGTGCGGCCGTTGCTATTAGAAACGGTTGGAAGGCATAAAGAGAGACGAGAAACAGCCAGAGCACCCAGCGAACAATGCGCATGGATCGGGGGGTGAGGCGCGGGTGCCTCCAGATCCGTTGGACACGGTGCACGCTATGGTGGAATAAGTCGTCCGTCGAGGTGAGATCCTGCACTGGCAGGACGTCGCCGATTGGGTAACAGCGGAACGCGCGAAGTTTGGCATGGAGGAGTTACAAGGGAGAGACCCAAGAAAAATCGTCCGGGCCATATTTGCAAGCATCGAGGAGTCCGGGACCTCACGCTTGGTCAGTCACGAGCCAGCACATGGAGACGCACGCGAGCGAGAACTTTTCCTCTTCCCAAACACCCTTGGGGACGAGCATCTCGTTGACTTAATGCTGCGTGCTCGCCGTAATGCACCCGTACAGCCACCATCCAATCAGCTAGCGGATATGGGCGGGTCTCTCAAGTCGATTCTGGAGGAAGTCGAGAAGGACACGGAGGACGCAGACGCAAGGATGTCCGTCGTGCGGGTAGCTGGTACAATTGTTCANAGTCACGAGCCAGCACATGGAGACGCACGCGAGCGAGAACTTTTCCTCTTTCCAAAGACCCTTGGGGACGAGCATCTCGTTGACTTAATGCTGCGTGCTCGCCGTAATGCACCCGTACAGCCACCATCCAATCAGCTAGCGGATATGGGCGGGTCTCTCAAGTCGATTCTGGAGGAAGTCGAGAAGGACACGGAGGACGCAGACGCAAGGATGTCCGTCGTGCGGGTAGCTGGTACAATTGTTCAAGCCGACGTGGAGAGTGATCCTGCCCTGAAGAACACCCCCGGGACGCGCGAGAAGCATCGCTACGCCGATGAGTTGGACATGAAAGTGAAGCCACCCAGAGAGAATCTACTAACCGCGTTTCTCCGGCCTTGGTTGGGTGATACCAAAGCATGACGAACATGGCACGGTATCGCGAGATCATCGCATCAGAGACCGAGCATCCTGGAGAGCCCTGGGTATGGCAGACCGAAGAGCGAGACGGACGGCACCCTACCACCTCGGGCGACTTGGAGGGCGAGGAAGGTGATGGAGAAAAGAAGGACGAGGTCAGCCAAGGAGCAGTGACGGTGTCGTTAGGGCCACGAACCGAGGAACAGGCCAGGCATATCGACAGCCTTAACCGCGACAGGCGATCCACGCATCGTAGGCTTCTAGTGATGTGTACGGTGGTGGTGAAGGCCATTTTGCGTGGCCGGCACATGGGTTCGCACGACATCAAAGGGGCTCAGTGGGCAACTCGTCCTCAGTGAACTCCTTTTCTAGTTCAGCAGTGGGAAGGGAAAAGGGGAAATTCTAGCAGGACACTACAAGAGACTTGGAGTGCCCTTGGAGAATGAAGCTTTTGACCAAGTGTTTAAGAAGGAGGTGGACGC